AGTGTTTTTTTCTCAACCCTCCTGCGTTGGGTTCTCGTTTTGAATAGAGCACTGCTCGCGCGAACCTTCCTTCCTTCCTTCCTTCCCGTCCCTCTCTTCCCCCCTGCCTTTGACCTCGCTCGTCGCTGCGTGCCAGCTGGAGGGCTGCGCTCTGTGAAACTGTCGCCACTTTCGAGGGCTGCTGGGGGGCCCAGCACAGTGGGTACCCACGGCGGATTCAAATGGGGGGCTGCGGTCTGTGAAACTGTCGCCACTTTCAAGGGTTGCTGGGGGGCCCAGCACAGTGGGTACCCACGGCGGATTCAAATGGGACCTCGCCACCCCTGGGGGGCTGCGATCTGTGAAATTGTCGCCACTTTCGAGGGCTGCTGGGGGGCCCAGCACAATGGGTACCCACGGCGGATTCAAATGGGACCTCGCCATCCCTGGGGGGCTGCGATCTGTGAAACTGTCGCCACTTTCGAGGGCTGCTGGGGGGCCCAGCACAGTGGGTACCCACGGCGGATTCAAATTAGACCTCGCCATCCCTGGGGGGCTGCGATCTGTGAAACTGTCGCCACTTTCGAGGGCTGCTGGGGGGCCCAGCACAGTGGGTACCACGGCGGATTCAAATGGGACCTCGCCATCCCTGGGGGGCTGCGATCTGTGAAACTGTCGCCACTTTCGAGGCTGCTGGGGGGCCCAGCACAGTGGGTACCCACGGCGGATTCAAATGGGACCTCGCCATCCCTGGGGGGCTGCGATCTGTGAAACTGTCGCCACTTTCGAGGCCTGCTGGGGGGCCCAGCACAGTGGGGCGGATTCAAAATAGACCTCGCCATCCCTGGGGGGCTGCGATCTGTGAAACTGTCGCCACTTTCGAGGGCTGCTGGGGGGCCCAGCACAGTGGGTACCCACGGCGGATTCAAATGGGACCTCGCCATCCCTGGGGGGCTGCGATCTGTGAACTTTCGAGGGCTGCTGGGGGGCCCAGCACAGTGGGCACCCACGGCGGATTCAAATGGGACCTCGCCATCCCTGGGGGGCTGCGATCTGTGAAACTGTCGCCACTTTCGAGGGCTGCTGGGGGGCCCAGCACAGTGGGTACCCACGGCGGATTCAAATGGGACCTCGCCATCCCTGGGGGGCTGCGATCTGTGAAACTGTCGCCACTTTCGAGGGCTGCTGGGGGGCCCAGCACAGTGGGTATTCACGGCGGCTTCAAATTAGACCTCGCCATCCCTGGGGGGCTGCGATCTGTGAAACTGTCCCCACTTTTGCATTCAAATGGGACCTCGCCATCCCTGGGGGGCTGCGATCTGTGAAATTGTCGCCACTTTCGAGGGCTGCTGAGGAGCCCAGCGCAGTGGGCACTCACCGCAGACTCAAATGGGACCTC